TTATAGAAAGAATGAATATATTTTACATATTATTTTTATATAATTTCAATTTTAAAAATATATGTGAAAAATGAGTAGTTTCACTAGATGTTTCATTCTCCATATCAAATACTTTAATTTATTATATAGATGTTGATAATAAGATATTTTTAAAAAAGTATTATGATTTTTTGAACAATACATATAAATAAAAAAAACTATTATCATTTAGACAGCATGTATGGTCATATTTTTGGAACTATAGATATACATATAATATATTAAAGATAATAATAAAACATGTAAAATAATTCTAACAAATTGAAGAATATTAAATTGTCAAATAAAATACATTTAAAATAGTTGGTATTGCAAAATAAATTTAAAAACTAAAAAATAAATTATACACAAAGCAAATAAATTATAATTAAAATGAAAAACTTTTAATCTAAATTTTTTATGCACAATCAACTTGAAGATATCTTTATTTTTTTAGATAAATTAATCATCATTTGTATCATATTCTTCGATATTATTGATTTTTTTGTAACACCTTAAATTTAATTTTAAAATAGTAAATTTTACAAAAATGGGAATAATAAAAACTTTTCATTCAAACGATTTTTCAATGTTTAATTCAGCAAAATATCCCAAAATATAAGGATATGTTACAATTTAAGCCAAATAATTGTTACAAGACTTAATTAATAAATCTCAATTTTAAACAAAATAAACATTTTAAGTCCTATAGTAGTGTCATCCATCCTTTTATTGAGTCTGGTGCTAATCGTCTTGGTCACCTGAAAAATAAATGTAAGGGTGAGTACTCTACACTACTCAACACACACAAACAAACATAGAGTCTCACCTCACATATTTCACACACTTTCTAAAACAATTCAAATCAAGCAGTTGCAGCCACAATTAACATTCCATTTCAACTTACACACCGGTACGCTCACTACACCATCACACAATCAATAGCTAACAACCACGTGCGCTCACTGCACACTAGCTACGCTCACTGTGGCACTGTGATCACAGTTTCACACCATGGATGGTTGTCGGTTACCCTCACCTCACGGATACTGCATGGGCAATCACGAGTCGTTCGGTAAAGGTAGTGGTCAGAGGTCTAGTCAAGAAGAAAGTGTATGGTCCACGCTCACTGTTGGTGTCACCACCACTCTCTCTTCTTAAGGTATTTCTACCGTCCTCATCTTCCACACCTCCAGTGCATCGCTGAATCATTCATAGCATAATACAACGACATTTAACGTGCCCTATTCACACACTTTTCAGCCACATACAATACTCATTCACAGCACACGGCACAATGTCCATAGTCATTCACATTATACAGCATAGAGGCCCACATTCGTTTACAACACACGACACAAGTGTCCATGTTCCATCACACAACATTTTCAACATAATCCACATTCATCAATTTATTCCATCATACACCCTATACTCTATTCAATCTTTCCACCACAATCTTACAACAATCAATTAATTCTATCAAACACACACATTCTAAATCATCCACATGACGTTGCATAGTAACTACATGGCATTCAAACATAATGAGATAGAGTAGAGTCCCTATTTACCTCAAATTGAAGACCGAACACAGAATGATGGTAGCAAATGGTCCTCACTTGGATTTCGTCCCTAAAACACATGGAAAACTCCATGAGAACTCAAAGAGAACCCAGAAAACAGAAAAGAGGGATGAAAACCGAAATTCTAACTATTAAAACTCACCTCCAAGCATCCCCAACACGAATACAACCTTCAATATAGCTCACGAATGGCTTTGGAGGCTATTTAATCGGTGGAATAGGGTTTTGAGTCGAGAGAATCGAAGATATTTTGAAGAGAGGAATGGAAAATGAATTTTTCAAACCCTAACACATTCAAATAGGTCATGACACTCTCGCTACAGTGAGACATTCTCGCTGCAACGACGCCCCTTGTCGCTACAGCGGAAATTTCAGTAGAATCTGCACTCTGGTCTATGCAAAATCTCGCTACAGCGAGACTGCACCCAGAAATACACTCCAAAATGTCGCTTTGTCGCTACAACGAGAGAAGCAAGAAGACGACAATTTCACGCCTTTCTCCCAGGCCCTCTCGCTACAGCGAGAATTCTCTCGCTGTAGTGAGAACACTTTAGTATTACACCCTTAACCTGTTTCTCAATCCAATCAATCCAATCCAGTTGTATACGAATACATTTGTATACATCCATATGTATTTATACACATTAACATCATCATTACACACTCAAGTGCAATTTTCAACATCTATTTACGTTTATACACACACACACACACACACACACACACACACATATATATATATATAACAATAATTAATAATACAAAATTTGAGGCGTTACAACTCTCCCTTCCTTTAGGAAATTTTGTTAATTCAAATAGGCTACATAAATAAATGCAGGTACAACTCCCTCATTCTACTTTCTGTTTCCCATGTGACATCTTCCTCATTACTTGAGCTCCAAATCACTTTCACTAATGAGATCTCCTTACCCCTCAGCTGTTTAACACGATGATTTGTTATCCTCACCGGAAACACGTCATAAGATAAGTCTTCTCTCACTTGAACCGGGTCAAGATCAATCACATGAGAAGGGTCCGACACATACTGGCTGAGTTGTGACACATGAAACACCAGATGTAGATTTGAGAGGTTTGAAGGCAATGTTATCCAGTACGTAGCAGGACCAATTCTACTTAGCATTTTGAATGACCCAATGAACTTAGGAGATAGCTTCTAAGATTTCAGAGCTCTCCCAACTCTGGTCATAGGTGAGACCTTCAAAAACACGTGGTCACTTACCTGAAACTCCAACGGCTTTCTCCTTCTATCATAGTAACTCTTCTGTTGATCATGGGCAGCCTGTCCATTCTCATACTAGCACAAATGAGTCCTACATTTTTGCCCATACAGAACTTCAAATGGCGTCATTCCAATGCTAGCGTGATAGCTGTTATTATAAGTGAACTCCACTAATGGCAAACATTCCTCCCAAGTCCCCTGCTGCTCAAGCACACAAGCCCTCAGTAAGTCCTCCAGTGACTGGATAGTTCTCTCGGTCTGACTGTCTATCTGTGAATGATACGCCGAGCTAAGCTTTAAATTAGTGCCCAACGCCCTCTACAGGCTCTCCTAGAACCTCGAGGTAAAACTCGGGTCTCTATTAGACACCACACTGGTCGGTATTCCATGCAGTTTGACTATCTTTCTTACATACAATTCCGCAAGTCTCTCCAACTTATACTTCATGTTAATCGGGAGAAAGTGTGCGGCCTTTATCAATTGATCAACTATCACCCAGATGACATCATGGTTGTTCCTGGTCCTCAGCAACCCAGAAACAATGTCCATGGAAATATTGTCCCATTTCCGTTCAGGGATCTCCAACGGTTGCAATATCCCAGGTGGACGCTGGTGTTCTACCTTCGCCTTCTGGCAAGTCAAGCATCGAGCCACATATTTAGCCACATCTCTCTTCATTTTATTCCACCAAAAACTCTTCTGGAGATTCTGATATATTTTGGTCGTGCCGGGGTGAAAACCCATCCTGCTTTTATACTCTTCCTCAAGTATCATTTGCTTCAACTCATCCACTTTGGGAATGCACACTCAGTTATGGAACTTAATCACCCCGTTCTCATCATAGTGGAACTCCAAATTCTTTCCCTCATCATATCTTGTAGAAAAACCTCTCTCTGCTGCACATCTCAGACATACACTAAGAAGTCATTATGAATCGTTGTCGTCCCAAGGCACAAACTCCTCAGCTTTACCTCCATGGCCAAATTTATGTCCTGAAATTCCTCAATTAACTCCATTTCTTTCACCATCATTGCTGCCACATACAATGATTTTCGGCTCAAAGCTTCGGCCACCACATTTGTCTTGCCAGGGTGGTAAGACAATGTGAAATCATAGTTCTTGAGGAATTCCATCCATCTCCTCTGCCGCATATTCAACTCCCTCTGATTAAACAGATACTTCAAACTCTTGTGGTCACTGAACACCTCAAACCTCACTCCATATAGGTAGTGTCTCTGTACCTTAAGAGCAAAAACCGTTGTGGCTAACTCTAAGTCATGAGTTGGATAGTTGACTTCATGCGGGCATAACTGTCTTGAGACATAGGCAACCACTTGCCCATCTTGCATCAAAATACACCCAAGTCTCTGTCCGAATGGATCACAATACACATCAAACTTCCACTCCGGGTCCGACAGAGCTAACAAGGGCGTTGACATCAACTTTCTTTCCAGTTCGAGGAAACTAGCTTCACACCCTTTGGTCCACTTAAACTCTCTACCCTTGTGGGTCAGCTTCGTTAAAGGCAATGCTATCTTTGAAAATCCTTCAATGAACTTCCTGTAATAGCCTGCTAGCCCTAAAAAATTGCGGACCTCAGTCACATTCGTCGGTCTCGGCCATCCAACCACTGCCTCCACCTTTACGAGGTCCACCTTAATTCCTTCCTTCGACACTACGTGCCCTAGAAACTGAATCTCTGATAGACAGAATTCACACTTCGAGAATTTCGCATACAGTTGTCTCTCCCTCAAAACTTGCAAAATAATTCTCAAGTGCTCGGCATGCTCTTCTTGAGTCTTCGAATAGATTAGGATGTCATCAATGAACACTATCACAAACTTATCCAAAAACTCATGGAAGATCCTATTCATGTAGTCTATAAACACCGCAAGCGCATTTTTCATTTCAAACGGCATCACCAAATACTCGTAGTGACAATACCGCATCATGAACGCTGTCTTGGGCACATCCTCATCCTTTATTCTGATTTAATGGTACCCTGACCTCAAGTCAATCTTTGAAAATACTGCAGCTTCTCTCAACTGGTCCATCAAATCATCAATACTCGGAAGCAGGGTACTTATTCTTAATCGTCACCTTGTTCAGCTACTAGTAATCCACACACACCTTCATGCTCTCATATTTCTTTTTCACTAAGAGCACTGGCGCTCCCATGGTGACACACTCGGTCTTACAAACTGCTTCTGCAACAAATCTTCTACTTGCTTCTTGACCTCCGCCAACTCTACTGTTGACATCTTATATGGTGCCACAGAAATCGAACTTGCTCCCAGAATGAGGTCAATAACAAACTCTATCTCCTTCTCAGGCAATAACTCAGAAACATTTTCAAGGGAAACTTCCAAGTAGTCCCTCACTACCGGGATATACTCTGGCTTCACCACGCTTTTTGCCTCCATTGAAAACATCACCATGAAGGCCTTAGCATTTACTGTGTTCTCCCACACACCATGACTTAACATCCTCAGAACTTTTGACATCGCCGCACCAAACATCAGTGTCTTATCTCTGCAATCTAGCAACATATGGTTGGTAGCTAGCCAATCCATTCCCAATATCACGTCCAATTGAGAAAGAGGCAAACAGATCAAGTTCACCTCAAACTCCCTACCGTGCACCATTATAGAGCACCCCAGACACACCTATGACATCACCACCGGGTTACCCGTATGGGTAGTCACCACAACATTGTATGGCAATTCAGTCACATATAAATTTAGGCTTTTCACACAATCCACAGATACAAAAGAGTGCGTAACACCCGAATCAAATAGCACATCGAATAATCGACCCTTAATAATGCATTTACCTCGAATCAGCTCCTCAAATTGTGAAGTCTTCGCCTCGCTCATGGCAAAGACCCTACCAGGAATGCTCGGCTTCGGTCCTGTACTCAGCCCTGTGCTTCCTCTTGACTCAGCCCTCTGAGCTGTACTCGAACTGCCACTCCTCTTAGTAGCCCAGCACACATTAGCAGTGTGCCCTAGCTTCCCACAATTACTGCAACTTGTCTTTGGCTGTGGGCAGTCTCTCACCATGTGTGCTCCTCCACACCTAAAGCACTTGATCGGCCCTCTGAAAGAGCCTGATCCTGAGCCGCTCCCACTGCTCTTCTCTTGTGATGAACTTCCTTTAGACTGAGAATTACTCGAGCCTGAGTATGTTCCCTTTGAGAATCTAGGGGGTCTTCTATCATGTCTCACTGGTCCGGCTCCCCTAGTGTCCACGGTCTTGCCCCTCGAATTGGCTTTAAAAATTCTGCTCTTGCTCACCAGTATGGGCAAGTCTGTCAGTTGAAACACACTAACTGTCGCTTGAATGTCTGGCCTCAACCCATGTTCAAACTAGGCACACAAGTCTTCTTCTTCATCCCCATGCTGATAGTGAGGCCAGTATTTCATCAACTCCTGAAACTTCGTAGCATATTCTCCTACGGTCATGTTTCCTTGCTTCAGTTCAAGGAACTCTCTAGCCTTCTTATTCTTCAGATCTCGGGAAAAGTAATTCCCTAGGAAGATTGTCTTAAAGGTCTCCCACTGAATGTAGCCACCCTCTTGTAGCAACATCTGATTGACAAACCTCCACCAGTCTTCCGCCTCTCCACACAACAAGTAGGTGGCGTAGCTCACATTGTGCTCCTCACGACATCTTATAACATTGAAGACCTTCTCTACATCTGCCAACCACCTTTGAGCTCCTTCGGGGTTGTAACCTCCTTCAAATTTTGGAAGATCGTGCCTAGTGAAGGCAGACAACTCTCGATATTCAGCTGACTAGTCTTCAGAATCTGAGTCATACGCTCCATTAAGTCATTGGTGTCTCTTGCTCCTTTACCTCTACCTCTACCAGCCATTCTAAGCTAAGCTAACCATAATGCAACAAACCACATTCTAATGTCAGATCAATAACAACATTTATAATTCCGGTAACAAAATAAATCAACACTCAACTTGGACGCTTCAACCCGATTCCCCAGTCCGGTTTGGATCTGCTCTGATACCAAAATTGTAACACCTTAAATTTAATTATGCACTCAAGTGCAATTTCCAATATCTATTTACATTTATACATATATATATATATATATAACAATAATCAATAATACAAAATTTGGGACATTACATTCTTCATCTTCTATCAAATCTTTTGTTAAGTCAATATTTTCATAATCACTTTCTTCTTCATCATTAACAACTTCTGTAAGCATTGCTGGACTTCCATTAACAATAGATTGTGCTAAATCAATCATATTCAAAGATAATACTTGATTATTACCCAATGCATTAGGTATAATAGAGATTGAACAAATCTCATCATTTTCTTGACATTCGTCATCTGTAACCTCTGGCATATCATACAAGTCTCGAGGTTTTGTTTTCACAACAACTAGCAAAATAAGATCTTTGGTGTCTTAAACATAATACACTTGGTGAGCTTGACTAGCTAAAACATATGGCTCTTTGGTCCTCAATTTGCGATTACTATTGATAAGAAAAAAAAAATCCATATTTATCTTCCTTGTATCCTTTTCCTTTAGAAGTTACATCCCAATTAAAATGCGATGGTCAACAGTAGAACCCCAATTAAAATGCAAGAAGGCAGTGATATTAATATGAGGGGATCAAGTCAAAATATTTAGATCATGATGTGTAGTGCCATTGAGATAATATATGTCTACTTGTCAATGAGTAATTGTAGGAGAGTATATATGCATGCAAATTAAACTTATTTACAGTGAATGAAAGTTTCGGTCTAGTTAAGGGACCTAAACTAATTAGGATTATTAAATGGATCCCCATCTATAGCTTGCGATGTAAGACCAATTCATTTCAGGGAAGCCATAAGTTTAGCTTCAGACATATCATGTTTACAAAAGAGATCATGAATTACTTAGTTTGAGATAGATGCAACCTTCCATAAGGATCATGGTGAACTTGAATACCATGAAAGAAGTCTAGTGTGAGTCAAGATCATTAAAACGCAAATGAGAGGTCAATTAAGAGCATTCGAACTGTTGCTAGTTAATATAATATCATCAATATAAATAAAGTAGTGATGTTATATTTGGCACCATGGTTTATAAAAGGATACAATCTGATTTAGCAAAGATTAAGTCAATTAATTGACCATAAAGTATAGTGAAGTTTGTCAAACCAAGCAAAAGAGGCTTGTTTAAAGCGATATAAGGCCTTACAAATATAGGAATCTCTCCTTTATTAAAACCATGGTAGATGTGACGTATAAAAGTCTTCTATAAGGTTATCATTTTAAAAGTTGTTATTTATATATTAAGTTGTCAAACAATCCACGCACCAACAAGAGAAGACTAACATGGGGACAATATATCTTGATGTACATGGTTTGACTACCAAACTAAATCTCTTAAAATAATCAAATTCTTTTTTGTTAAAGGAATCTTTTTGCTGATAAATATGGCTTGTACCTACTAATGATATGATCATCATCGTATTTAACTTTGAAGATTCATTTACAACTAACGGGAGATTGTTTAAGTGGAAAAAGTAACTAAGGTCCATGTATGATTGTTAAGAGAGCACCATGTTCTAGTCATTCATGTTATTACTAATTTAAAAATATATATTTTTACTTAAAAATTATTCTTATATATTATTTTATTTTTATTCCCCATCGAGTTAAATCTGAATCTGACTCGAGTCGCACACCTAAATGTGATGAGTGAGTTTATCATTGGTTAAGCGATAATGAACCGCTTGCCACTCAAACCAACCTTCATTGATATACATATTTTAAGCAATATTCTTACAATTCATTGTCATTGAAGAAGGTTGATATAATTTATGGATAAAACTTAATCAAGAGTGATACATGGTAGTAATAATGTTATTCTTTAATTAAAATTAAAATCATATAAAATACCAAATATAAATATATCTTTTTGACAACTTTATTCCTTGAAATAGCATTTCTAATCATCTCATTTTCAAGATTATAAAATCATTCTCGAAACAAACAACAACGAATTATTTGAGATGAAATTAAATTTGGAAGAAAAAATAAAATTATATATTAATCAGGATAATAATAAAATAATATATATTAATTTATTTATATATTTTTATTTTAAAAATGTTAAATAAAAATATATTTATTTGTTTAAATAAAAATTGTATTCTCCCTTTTTTAGTTCGTCAAAACTCTGCTATGAAACAATGCCCAAGAGAAACAGTAAACAAGCACCAATTCATAATTCGAACAACCACAACGTGTAAACCTGAAATGAAACAACTATAATATCAATTTCTGCATGATTATGATGTGCATAACAACAGTCATTAATACTATCGGTTGGAATATTTAGCACCTTCTATTCCACTCAATATATATATATATATATATATATATATATATATATATATATATATATATATATATATATATATATATATATATATATATATATATATATATATATATTCCCCTTCACGGGTCTGGTACCTCCTCATACTCGACCCCACATCATCATTGAATCTCTACTTCATAAGCACAAAATGATAGAAGACTAGAAAAGAATTACAATCGCAAAAAATAAAAAAAGGTTCTTATAATGTACATAAACAATGAATCAGACTAATTACAATAATCAAATTAGTACCCAACCCCAGAGGTTTCATTCTTAAGTCAGCACCTTCATTAGCGGACATATCAGATTCTAGTGACCACTCGGATCTGAAATTAGGGTTTGACCCATATAGAGATTGCACCCCTTTTATGTCATCAATGTTCAAATTAGCCCTCTTATCTCTAGGCCTTAAACTTGGATACATAACAGCCTCTTTGACCGAACTATGTGATAACCCTAACAAATGTCCAATCTCATGTGTGGCCACCGACTCCAAATCCACGGCGGCCTCTGACGCGGTAGCCCGAAAGTCCACCGCCCACGTCTCGGCCGCATCGAGGTGGAGCCGTCCGATCTCTGGCGAGAAAGAATGGGCCAACACTCCAAGCACCCCATCAAAAGGCTCACCATCACCATGCTCACCGTTGTAAAACCCTATTTTTATGTCGGCAAGATCATACTCATTCTCTTCAACGAAACTAACGGGAATAACCGAAGCCCACCTCGAGAATGCACGTTGGAATGCTTCTCTTATCTCTTTTAGGCTTAAACTATGGATCATATTGTCACGTGAGAAGGCATAGGTGAGTGTCATTGGCATTGGACGTGACCAACGTGGCTTTCCTGGGAAAAACACAAAATGCTTCGTTAAGTGCATGGTGTGAACATTGCGATGGTGATGATGACTAAGATTGTGATGATATGTTATTGTGTTTGTGTCTGGAACACCGCATCTTGGTGTGATCATTTGAGAAACCGTGTTGGAATCGAGCTTGCCGGTTACTTGGAGCCCAAGGTTTTGTTGGTATCTGATGAGAGCAAATTCGACCGTGGCTTCGAATTCGTCACTGAAAGTGTTGTTGTTTTGTTGCCTTGGAAGATAACCAAAACGTGATAGGTATCTTTTGAATTGTGATATGCCATTGATCTTGCTGCCTATACCAGCATTTGTGAGGCTTTGAATGTTGTAATTTGTGACTGCTATTTTGGTGGCTGGTAGTGTAAATGTGTGATGTAGCA